CTTTTTAAACTTGCCAATTTTTTCTTAATTAAATTTATTATTGTATTAAGATACAAGCTTTATTTTATCATTGCTCAAGGGTCCTACCCCCATCCTAACATTTTGTTTACAATTAATCTATTTAGAGAAATCCTTACTGTTAATTTTTATATTTTCAGCCAACCTTTTATTATACATACTTTTTAATGTCCAAACTTCCTTGATATTCTAAATCTCCTGTCATACCAGATAAATTTAAATTTATGATGCTTTAATTTTTAATATCTCGTACTTTTTGTAAGCCAACCTAGCTACTCTTTTCTTTCTATAAGGAATATGTTTACCTTTAAAAATAAAATCTTCCAAGTAACTAAGCTGCCCAATTCACAACAGATAATTATTCTACCATTCCTTTTATCTCCCACCAAAATATCATTATTCGACTTCTCCATATGCAGCAAAACATTGAAACTGATAGAGCAATGATCACTTGCACCCAGATATTACACAATTTCCACCCTATCAATCATTTCAGTATTTGAAATGAACAACAACTAAAATATCATTGTTTCTTTGACCAATTGGTAAAAAAAGGCATTCTAAATACTTTCCAAAAAAACTTGTTCCCCTCATGGTTTGACTCTAGAATTTCTATATGCCCAAATTAAAAACAGCCATATTAATCTTATTGTAAAGTTTCACTAATTTCATCAGTATCGTCTGGTGGTCTGTAACAAATCCCCACTATCAGCCTTTCCACTTTATATCCACTAATAGAAACCCAAATGGATTCAATCTCTTTTGATATCCTCAACAGGATGTAACTCACATTTTATATATAAAGCCACTCCCCCTAACTCTTTAATAATCTGTTACCATTAAATAGCCTCTAACCCTGTATTTCAAAGAAACTTTTGTCATTAAAATCATCTACATTTAATCAGGTTTCAGTTATTATATCAAAGTGCTTTGAAGTCATCTACTTTATTTCTTTTACATCTAAGATTACAAAAGTGACAATTAAACCTACCCTTATTATTTTTACTTTATCCTGCCACTGTCTAGTTGAAACTTCACTTACAGTAGAGTTAATAGCCGTAGCAAACAAACCAGCCCCTACTATATTTAAATGTAAACAATCCATTCCAAAATGCTTCTGACCTCGTCCTTATACACTAACCTAAGCCTAGCATTTAGTCCTAGCGACTTACTTATAACTTCATTTTCACAGTTAATTATGGCCAGTATTCCTGACAAAATTAAGTTATGGCCTATATCAACCCCTCCTACTTATTAATAACCCCCACACAACACAAAAACTCCATCTCTACAAGACCCCTTTATCATATCTCCTGCCCTGCCACATCTTTTCTAGCTATTTTCATACACAAGAAAATGCTATCAATATTAGTAATAAAAAGGCCAAACCTACATAATACTACCTAGAGGATATATGCCATCTTAAATATACAAAGTCATATTCGTTAAAAATCACTATAGAATTAATAGCACGTTAAAACAACTTACACTCCACCTCAACACCCACGTTTCTTCTAGCACCCTTTCCGACTCCATTATCAGCAACACAAAAGTAGGTGCCTCTGTGATATTTGGTGACATTACGAATCGTCAGAACGTTGCCGTCAAATACAGCAAGACCCGTTGGAAGCAACACGTTTTTCTCTCTCCTCCAAGAAATACGAGGTTTAGGGTAACCCATGGCGTAACAGTACAACGACACCGTGCTTCCACTGCTCGTCATTATCGAACGTGTACTGTTGTCAGATATTACTGGAGGAACTTCGAGAAAAGTCAATATTATCACACTGATTCTAATATGTATAAATTTATTTACAACGGTTCTAATAAATCACAGAGATTCAGTTCACTATCACATCAAGTCTTAAAATATAAAACAATTTTCAGACTTAACATTTTTTTTTAATAATTTAGCACACCACATAAAATAGCCACTTTGAAAAGTTACCAGCATATATTTAGGTTTCTTTTTTTAAAACTGATAATAGTACTTAATTACCTAGAACTAAAATATTAAATTTATTCTATTTCCCCATCTCTAGCTTAGTACTTAAAAGACAATAAATAAAAACGCACTTCTCACAAGTACGTGAACGTCAGCAGTAATCTTGCCAATTGCTCCAATGATCACCTGGCACTGATAAAGTCCAGCATCAGTTTCTTGGATCTTTGATATCTCAGTAGAAAAAAAAAAAAAATACATAGTATTTTATTTAACATGTACATCAGTTTAACAAGTTTACTGCAAGATGGTTCTTACAAGTTTAGAATCTTAAAAACACGCGTTTATTACAATCCTGTTTAGTATACAAAACAAAGAAAACTACGACATTTTCATGCACATATGATCCATACTAAAAGACATAAAAGCTCCAATCTTCAAATTATTTCATTAAGAAAAGTGTTAAATAAATGTGGAAGGGTTAAAGTTTTAACAGTTTGGTAATGTAACCTCTACTTTAACGTTAATTCAAAAGTAATTCATTTTATTGGCGAATCACAAGACAGATACAAAACAATCTGAATACTAGTTCATTCTCCTTCGTATTTACAGGATGAACCTCGTTTCTTATAGGTTATACATACCTTATTAAACAAGTTATAATTTAATTATCATAAAGTCTACATTTTAAGAACAAATTATTTCATTACTGGTGCTGAGTGTTCGGTATTTGTTCTCAGCCTACAAATACAGTGTTTAAATCTAATGTGGAAGTTAAACGGTCACCCTTTGTTAGTTGTCATGGTTGCAGCGAGTGGGTTTTTATTTGGTTACTCCGAATTGATATATACTTTTAAGGAAGTTGGTATTAAAGACGCGCGATTTCTTTATAAAGTTATCTTAATTAAGATGGATAATAACGAGTGTAACCTGTACAAATAGCAGGAGTATATCCAAGAGAATTTCTGATGTTAAGCGCAATGGATACATCAGCTAAAAATGACTTTCAGGAACAGTAATTATAACGAGTATGTGCAGATGACAGACTATTTGAGGTAAGGAGAACAAAAATGGACAGAGTCGAATACGAATGATAAACTTAAGTAAGAGGTAAATAGAAACAAATTACGTTATGCTACCCAGCAGCACGAGTGGAGAACATGACAGATATAATAAAGGGGGCTAGCAAGAATGAACTGTGTTATGCACGTAGTGATTAATCATGCAAGTAAAAGCAGATCAGAGTATCTACGTCATAATGACATTTAAAAAAAAGTGGCCACAACTTTCTGTCGGGGATACTGCTGAGAATTAATTTAAGAAAAGTGAAATTATAAGTAGTGCTTAATATTACGCTTGCGTTAACGTGTAAGGATTACACTATGAGCTGGATGAACTTGTGAAATCATATCAATAGAACAAAAAAAGTAGAGAGCTTTTTTTTTTTTGGAATAGATCGTTTACATTTAAGTAGGTTAGAAGCTGCTTTGTTTGAGAGGGCTATAAACTCAACTTAAGGAAAGTTTTAAACCAAGACTAAACAGTAATGACAACTAGCACGGAGGAAATACAAGTGTAGCATATCAACAAATTATAGAAATAGTTCCAAGAGATACGGTTCTGGTGCTACAAGTATAACCAATAGTGCGTTACTTTAGAGAACTAGTAGAAACAAGATTTATATGACAAAATTCTTTCAAATACAACATAATATATTATTTAACAACGATACAAGGCTAAAGACAGGAGGGGTTGTTTAATGTATAAAATACAAGCTACAGCATCTTTTTTGATGAGGACATCAAGGAAACTTCTACAAATATAGGAAAGGTTGAGAGAATGACAAATTGGGGAACATCTGGGTACAACTGATAATTACACTATTACTAGTGAGATCAGGAATAATGCTTTACTTACAGATTCAAAAAAAAATTAAGGGATTATACAATTATCTATTACAAGTTGGCCAGCAAAGTCATCTGGAGACAATTATCCAATGTGGAACACTTAAATATTCAAGATAAACAATCCTTCTACAAACAAGAACAGTGGTTCCAACTGAAGAACCACACTGGATCACAAGGGCTATAATGATTCCAACTAAAGAAAAGAATTACAAGTTTATATTGACGGGAGATTTGGAACATCAAGAAAAGGATGTATGAAAAATTAAAGATTTCTTTAAACTTAATGGTAAATAAAATGTGACGATGATATTTGAAGGGTACAAGTCATTATCTATAACTTTTTGGAAGGTGCATTTAAAAAAAACTGATAAAGTCCACTTTCTGTTATAATGTCAGTCCTGCTATCTCTCACGTCTTTGCTAGTATCCATTTGATAAATCTAATCTACTAATACAAGACACCTCACAAAGCATTCAAAATAAATTATATCGGCAAGATTCTAAGACTTCATTTAATTAATGTTCGGTAGTCAACATAACGTCTAAAAAGTTAGTTTTCTATTTGACAGTAACTACTCGAGAAGCCCAATAAAAATGTAAATTTCAACCACCTAATCATATAGAAGTAGGTAGTGGGGGTTAAGTTTTACTAAACACTAATGCTTACAATACTATGTTCAGTCAAATCTGAAAGGCCAATTTTATTTTTGTTATTTCTAGTCGAAATCTTTAACGACAAAGAACTATTGTGTTAAAATACTATTCCTTACAGATACTTTACCTTCGAATTGTTGTTCCATATTTAACCTTTTTAAAAAAAAAAAAATTTACAGTTCGTGGAAAGATCACACATTTCATTAAAATTGAAATATTTTTTTTTTCTTCTTCTTTATTCTTCCGCCGATGCAATAGATACAAAGTGACATTCCATGTATTCTCGTAACGATATATGTAACAGCAATATTTTACACTTCACATTCGTGGTTCCACAAGTTAAAGACTTT